CAACAGTACTGCAAGGGTGTTACATTGGAAGTACTGCAACTCAACTTCCTGGGCTATGCCTCAGACAGAAGGGCATTTTGATATTATACTGCCTAACAGTGACAATATTGCAGTTCACTGCCCTTTCCAATGTCTCAGATTTGTGAGGTGAGGCCATCAGAGCAGGTCAACTGTCAGAGGACTGTAGCATGCTCATGTTGACTACATTGACTTTGTTCTGATCCATACACTGGTAGGGGAAATGAACCCTCCTAGGGCCCATACAAAGGGACAGGCCTTGTGCTAAGTGTGTTGTATGTGATTGCTTCTGAACATGCAGTTACTCAGTCTTAGACCTTTAGAAAATCTTAAGGAAGGGGGATGGTAGTTATCAAAGGCTTTTCCAACTTTAGAGGGAATGAGTGCATCAACTGCAGACAGCAGAATCTGGATGCTAAATAAAATAATGTGTCTAAAGATGCAATTGTTTGAAATTAGCCCCTTGGACTAACAGGCAATTAACTTTTGCTACTAGTTTAATTCCTTGTGTGGACCTGGTACAGGAAACCATACCTGGGTGGTAATTTTTTTCCCCTCCAATCTCAGAGGGAATGTAACTGGGTATGAATTAGTGGCACAACTCATATATCAGTAGTCTGTACTGGGTCTACTGAAATCCTTTTCTTTAAAGTTATTTAACTGTTTTGAAAATGGTTTCAACAGAAGTAATTCCAGTTGCACCAGAAAGGAAACCAGAGTCTTAAAGAAAAATATACTCTCTTTTCTGAGCAAGGCAAACATATCAGTATGCAGAGAAACAAACCAGTCTCTTGTGTTTTCTTTCCTTAACAAACCCATGGGAACACTTACTTTGTGCCTTGAAAGGCTGATAAACAAAGAATTCTATGGCCACAAAGAATTAATGCCTACAACTTGTTTGTAACCACTTTAAAAAGGCAGGTGCTATTTTTTAAAGTTTTTCTCTGTTAGTCATACTATCTCCTTATGGGACTTTGTACGTATTATAAACAAAATAAATATTTGCTGTTTTTTTTAAACTCATGAGAAACATGTTCTCTGGGGAAGGATTTTCTGTTTAAAGAACTAGATAACCTGCTATTTTCCTACATTCTTCATTCATAAGTTAACACATTGCTATCACAAACCTAGCCCTTTTTTAAACCAAGCCCTTATGGAACAATATTTTTCCAATAAACTCTTAAGTGACATTTCTGTCATGATGTTGCTTTTTGGCTTTTGCAAGAATTAATGTTTAAAATAAAAACCCTTCCATGTTTGGAAGGTGAGAACTTGAAACTATTTAAAATGGACTAATTTAAGTCATTTGGTGAAACTGATTTCATTTTGAAAACTAGAAGATGTGAGTGTGCAAACTAGATGGCTCTGATAAAAAGCATGATTGTTTTCTATAGTCAATGAAACTGACAATAAATTAATTTAGACCTTGATCCATTACAGCCCTTGGGTCCACAGAATGAGAAGGGAGAATCTGTTAGTCTCACTTCTCCAAGATCTTCACACAACTAACTCCCTTAACTCCTTCAAGCTTTTGCTCAAATTGTCCCCTCAATAGGCTTTTCCTGACCACTCTTTTTCAAATGTTAGCTCTCCGTCTCCTTTCCTGCCCAGCCCCCTTTCCAGTGTTCTATTTCTCCATAGCACTTACCTGATACAATATATGTCTTATCTGCTCCTTGTGGTTTCTCTCCCTTAACTTGAATGGAAGCCCCATAAGCAAGCAGATGTTTTATCTGTCTTGTTCCCTGTCGCAGTCCCAGCTCCTGGTACATAGTAAGTGCTCAATAAACATTCATTGACATACAAGCTAAGGCAATATTTGTTTGAAGATTTCTGGGCATGGGTATTCTCCACTCTCTTGGTGGTTTAAAAAGCAAATTCACATCAATTCTTTAATTTGGTCATTCTTATAACAACAGTATGTTTTAAGAAAGGATTATTATCCCAGTTCACCAGATGAGGGAACAGGGCCTTGGGGAGTTTCTATGAATTGTGTGAAGCCAAGGGGAGACTCCAGGCCTTGAGCCCAGATCGAACATGTGCCCTGATACACTGTTCCCACCACGTCGTGAATCTGTCTGGACAGAGAATTTACTGCTTTGTATTAAGCATTATTGGTCAGATCTCAGGGCAGTGGATTCCAAAATGAAAGTGAGAACAGAATTTGGTTGTAGTGTTTATGTTCTTAATAGATAAAACAACCCATCATGTGTGGCTCTCAAGGATGTGAAACTGACTCTCAGTTGAGCCCTACGTGTACTTACCTTGTGGAAGGAGAAAAATGATCTGTGTGGAGGTTATGTGATGTCCACCTCAAAGAACCACCACAGACCCCTCCTTTCTTTGCAGCCAAGCACCATACCTGCTTGCCCTTTCATTCTTTCTCCGTGGCATTGCTATTTCCTCTCTTGCTGGGTGGGGGTAGGGAGGCAGGCTGCATGATGGTTAAAGATCAATCACAGACCCAAAAGCATGCAACAGCAGACAGAGCTTAAAATTTGACATGGCTGGGAGATTTCTGGGGACAAATTACTCTGTCTTCATCTATAAAATTAGGCTAATGATACCAAGTTCTGATAAATCAGATTATGCAATTAAAGCATTGATCACTGCCTTAAGCAGTGTTATTGTGTGACTCCTGTATTTCTTCTACTAGATTGTAACATTTCTAGATTTATTAGTTTTCTAGGGCTGCTGTAACAAAGTGCCACAAACTGGGTGGTTTTAAAAAAAGAAACTTGATATCTCACATTTTTGGACAAGCAAATTCTAAGGTAAAGGTGTCACCAGCCTTGTTTCCTTCTGAGGGTGGTGAGGGGGAAGGTGTGCGGGGCCTCTCCCCTGCCTCGCGTGGTTTGCTGGCAGTCTGGCGTTCAGTGACTTACAGAAGCATCACCCCATTTGCTACCTCATCTTCACTTGGCATTCTCCCCACGTGGGGGTCTCTGTCTAGATGTCCCTTTTTTAGAAGGCCACCAATATATTGGATTCAGTGTCCACTTTACTCCAGTGTGACCTCCTCTGAACTAATCATATCACAATGACCGTATCTCCCAACGCGGTCACATTCTGAGGTGCTGGGAGCAGGACTTCAACATAGAGGTCTTGGGGTGGGAAACACAATTTAACCCATCATGCTGGCTGCATCACTTTTGTATTTACTTGCATTTAGTAAATGTCAGATCATTGCTGCTGACTCCATTACATTTACAGAAATGTCCCTAGAAGGTTCAGAAATGAAGCCACTTTTCAGCAGATAAATGGCCTTTTGAAAAATTGCCTCTCCATCCAAGGTTTATGGGAAAAGGAAATTTCCCTCCACCTGGTGCCTCATTGAACTCTGTGTCAGGCCTTTGGAACAGGAAGATCCATAATGTTGAGGTGAAAAGTTTGTTCAGGACTTTCCATGCAGGTTTTTAATGAGTAGGATGCAGTAATATCTTAAAATATGGATAAGGTCTTAGATGGGTTATTTTATAATTTAACATTTTAAAGGTTTATTTGTCTCAAAATCTGAATAACTCACTGTTGTTTTCAAAATTTTAAGTGCAACTTTTTATCTTGTAGGTATGTGCTAATAATAAATGGTAATTTTCCCTGAAAGTGTTATACATTCTTTCTGAAATCTATATAGTGTGGTTATAAAGTAATGAGGTTGGGTCCATAATTTATACACATGCATATAGAGTGCTGTACTTCAATGAGAATTCCCACTTAAAAGTTTTAATATCTGAATTGCAGTGATATACTACATGCATGCATGTTTTTTAAATTGATATTTCTTCCACAAATCACTTGCTTAATATAGTCAGAACTTTTGAAGTTGCTTTTCAGGCTATATACATATTTGTTTGGACATTCAAGTATTCATTTATAATGCATCTGGAGTGGTTGGTGCTGAAATCTTGAGTTTATGTAAATGTCAGGATTGACTATAATGGAAGGGGGCTATCCATAGCGCTTGAGGTCTTACAGGAAGTCTGTAAAGATTTGTTGAATGAATGTGTGAATGAATGTAGAATGTGGCGGGGAGGAAATGAAGTCATTTCTTTTAAGTTCCACTTGCACCAATGAGATCAATAACCTACAGGAAATATAACACTTATTAAGAGAGAAAGTGATATATTAAAAAACTGTGAAAGTGATTTTTAATTTTCTATATGATATTCTATATATAAGTTGGATTTTGTTGGGACACTTTGCCTCTCTCCTACATCTGCATTCTGGCAGATGATTTCAAGCACTCTGTAATGAAAGGGGCCTCTGAGAAAGGCAGGTGGAGAGCAGAGCATAAGTACACATTTGCATAAGGCAGGAAGGGCACTCTCACATCTGGCAGTGGTGGCCGGCGGGGACTGGGTCCATTTGCTAGCACTCATTAAATTCACATTAATGCATGAGCTGCTCTGAATGTGTAAATGCCACTTGGGGTTGATTGCTTTCTCCCAGACCAATGGCAATGACTTTGGGGGCCCTACCCCTGGTTGTTTACTTGCCAATGGCATTTGACCTGGGGTCAGACCTGTATTTAACCCTTCTCTGTAGGTCAGAAACAAATTAATTTGGTGAGAATTAAATTGGCAATGAGTCGTCTGTATGGCAGGTGTCCCCTGTGGAGAATGCGCTCCAGGTGGAAACGTTTTTAAGATCTGCTTCTCGGCCATCTCTGAAGAAGCTTCAGAGGTCAGAGAGGCAATTCCAAGACATCCCGTGGGGCTTGAGGGCCTGGAGATGGATACAGCAGGTGCCGACTCTGGGTGGTTTTCTCAGCAGCTTGGGGGAACTTTCAAAGAAGCCCCTTTGGGAGGTAATTTATTCATATATTCATGAACATATATCTTGGGCAATCACCGTGGACTGATTTACTCAGAAGTTGCCCTAAATGATTAGAACTTTCCCCTTTGCCCCTACCTCCCACCATCTAACCAAAGACTTTGATTTGAGGGAAAGAAGACAATTCATTTTTTCTTTTTTATTTCTAGAGGATGAGGAAGATGAGGAAATGGTAGAACCTAAAGTTGGCCACGATTCAGAACTGGAAAATCAAGACAAAAAACAGGAGGTGAAGGAAGGTATGGTGTGGGAGATAAACTGAGTGACCATTTCATTGTTTTTTTTTTGCTTTTTTAACCAACATAAGAAACTATACAAATAAGTAAAAATTAAATGTACCCCGCCCCCCATGCAGAAGGTTTTCTATGAACAAAACTTTACATTTAGCAACATAAACTACAATCTCCAAAACGAGAGTCATTTGTTTTCTGGCTGAAAATACAAACCATCCACTCTTCTAACAAGTTTGCTCACAATTCCAGTAAAACTATTACTAAATAATGATACAGTAAGATACTTGTTATTAATTGTGTTATCTAGCTCATGCCATTGTACATTCCTGTGACAACAGTAAAGGAAAGGAACAGATGTCATTATTTTGTCAAAAAAATTCTGGTTTATTCATATGTGTTCTACATAGAGATATTAACAGTGATCATTACTATGAAGTGTACAGTTCAAAGTTTTCTTCCATGACTCTGCCCATATGAGAAGGAACAAATTTATATGTTCCAGTGATATAATAAACATTTATTGAGGCTTACTATGTGCTTGGCTCTCTCCTGAGCACTTTACAGATATTATCTACTCCTCAAAACATCCTTTTGAAGTAGATACTATTATTATCCCTACCTTATAGATAAAGAATTAGGAAAAGAGGTTGAAAAATTTACCCAACGATACATAATGTAAAAGTACATGAGCCAGGATATGTAGTTGACTCCAAAATGCAAACATCTCACCCTGCTGCCTCCCTCCTATAATAAATAGCACTGGCTCTTAAAAACAAGAAAGCAAAAAGGCAAAAAGAAGAGAAAGGGGAAAATAAGAAATACTACAGGTGCTGTTTCCCTAAAAATCTAATTTTGTATCCCTTTGAGATTCTCAGTCCATAAAGACAAAAGAGAAGTTTGCAATTGTCATTCTTACTGACAAATATCTTATCAGTGAGAATGGAGTGTAGGTCAGAAAGATTCTCCCACATTTTCTACCAAGTATCCCACATGTAGCTCCACATGACTCTAATAAGAAGCTCATGTGATTTTTAAATTTAAAAATGCCTGTGGTGGTGGCACAGTGCATGGCACCTATAGTCCCTGGGGACTTATGCAGGAATGAGTAATATTTGTCATATGTACTTACTTCAGCCTGCTCAGGCACTGAGCAGGGGTGATTATTACCAGGATCTGAGGTAGGAGAACAGGCACTAGATCAGCATTTTTAACACCTGCAACCACAGAAGCCGTAAGAGTTACTTTCTCCAGGCGATTTCAAATGGATTTGATTGAAGAGATTTCACATTTAAAATTCTACCAAGAACATACCTTTTTCTAAAAGCCAGTCAATAGAATATCAGTAACACGGGTATAGCAAGGACAAAATAAGTCGGGGTTTATTAAAACTCTCTTTTTCCTTTCAAAATATTCTTAAGATACCCTGGGTGATAAGGAGCCGTGGAAGCTTTTGCTTCTATGCGTCTTGGCACAGACTCCCTCCCGCCCTCAACCCCAGTCTCCAGATCGTCTTCTTGGGCGAAGCAGTGCAACCTCCTTCTTAAGTTCTGAGCAAAAGCTCCCTCCAGTTTTAACTGTTTCTCATGCTTCATGGAATTGATTAAAGTCCCGTTAAAAGTCAGAAAGAAGTTGGAGAGTACATTTCCTGTGCATGGTGGTGCTGTGTGCGTCATTCTCTATTAATAGCTTTTCTGCAAATTAGCACTTAATGGGTTAAAAGCATGTTTATGTTGGCATCAAACTCTCTCTTGGGCTATTTTTTTTTTCATCAAGACAGTGTTTTGCAAACTTTTAAAGCGTCTCTACCAGATACATGTGGCGCCATTCACATGGCTGCATAGTAGTTAGGGCTGTGTCAGCACTTCCATTATGAACCTTGAGTTTCAGGGATTTATTACTCAGCCATAAAAATTTGCTCTGGACTGAAACTTGACATACCCGGTTTCAAACCAGGGAACACATTTTTGAGAAATCTGGCCTTTTTGGAAGCTAAAAAAAAAAGGAGTGGTGGAGGGAGATGGGGAAAATATCAGCGCTCCCTAGCTTTGACATTTTTACCCATGTGACATTAAAATGCATTAAACAGCAAAGAAATATGAGTTTGATTTATTACTGTTTTCACTCTTTTTTCTGCAACAGAGTAGGGAAAAACAGCAGGCCCATTTTAACTTTTAATCAAATTTTAGGAAGTTTCTGTATGTGAAGGTCCTAGTGTCTTCATGTTCAGAGATTTTAAGCAACAGACTCAGAAACCCAAATCTTGTAAATGCACATCAACTCATAAACCTCACATTAACTTCAGAGAAGGGTACCCTTCTTTATTCGTTTTTTTTCTTGCCGTTATTTACGAACTGATTTCACTATAAAATTCCCATAAGAGCCACCGTCCTTTTTAATCTGATTTAATATTTAAACTATGTGGGTTTACTTATTTATTTTGCATACTTTAGATATAATCTTGAAAAATTTTTAAAAGGTGTGGTTTTTAATACTGAAATTTAAATCATTGAAACAAGGCAAGACACTTCTAAGGTATACACTTTCAAAATAACTTTTTATCTAAAAATGAGATTATAAACTTCTCAATATAAATTGCAAATTTCATTATAAATTTTACATTTTTACAGAGATAAAAAAGATCCTAAGAACACTAGAAACCAAAAAATACAGTATATATAGTAAATACAGTAAATTAAAAAGAAAGCAAAAATTACCCACTTATTCGAGTCAGTAAGAAAATTCAAGAAAGCAAAACAAATACAATAGAATCATCACAAAAGAAACAATCAAGCATTTTCATATACAAAACCAAGAGTCATTAATATTTCTATAATAAAAAGAATAAAAAGTCGACTCTAAAATAAAGTTTATACTAGATTTTAATTTTGCAGGCCAGGAATTCATAAATTAGGCAGTCTTCTAACCTTTGAATTTCATGAACCCAGTACATTGTTTTCATACTTATTATTCAAATTGAACATAACTTTTCAGGTAAATTTTGGTAAGTCTGAAAATTGTCTTATCATTTGGATAATATATAAGTCATAACCATGTGTTCAACTTTTCATAAAGAATCTTTTTTTTAATGGTCACTTTAAATACATAAAATATTGTTTGATTTTGGAAGAAATACTCCATGGTTTATGTTGCAAAAACAAACAACAAACCTGCTGTAATAGCATTTTCTGCTTAACTTATAAGAAAAATCAAATATTACCAATACCCATGTTTTGCTCTGGCATGTGTTTTGCTATTGAACTAGTTCCTAGGTTTTTAAGCAGTGGCCATGTTCAAAATAATTCATTAGGTGCCAGGGAGAGGGAGAAGCCAATATTTCAGGGAGAATTTGAGGTCTATCTTTGAGTAATACAATTCTGATGCTAATTGTTTATGCTTACATTTTGAACCTTGTGGATACCATAAGTGAACTAATTTTCTTTCATGAAACATGATGTCTGGAGAGGCTTTATCTCTGAACATAGCTTTTGGTTGTGATTCCTAGATATTCCATTATGTCTTCATTACATTGTAACACTTATCAATGCAAAGATTTCTAAATATGAGAGGTTTAGGGCTTTAATAAAAAATAACTACAGTCCTGTTTAACTCCTATGCTGAATATTGTTTGTGACTTTAAAAAAGTACTTGTCTGCACATGCATCTTATTATTTTGTGCTAACAAATCATGTCATTTGATCCCTGTTAGACATCAAAGCTTAGTACAAAATATATCCTTTGTTTTGCTTCAGTAGCAGTTTAATTTTAAGCCAAATACTGTATTGTCAAACATAATATCTGGAGAGGCTACTGCTTCACCTACCTGAACTTGGCCTCTGCAAACACACTTTGATCAGCCATTTATGTTTCTCTTAAAGAAGAAGTTGTATATCTTGAAAGCTGAGATCAAAGTGACAATAAGCTACAGGGGAGAAAAAAATTACAGAAAATTACACAGATACGATTTTTTATTCAAGGTAATGGACCTGTAAGGAAAGATACAGGTGAACAAGAAGTTGCTCAAAAAGATAAACAGACAGTTGCATAGATATATTTTAATATGAAAAGGAATAAAGGGAAAATACTCCTATTTCTCTGCTAATTTCAAATGTGTTACAAGTCACCCATCAATAGTAAAAGCTGAATGAAGCTTTTAAAATAGGACATTCTTCTTGGCTCTATAGTATCCTTGTTGACTGAAGTTTTTTGATTTCTGTAACAGTTCTAACCAAAACAAAATGAGCCTAGCGTATTTTGTAGGGTTTTTTTCTTTTGCCTAGTTACATTTAGTAGTTTTACTGTTTTCTTGAACTTACATAAGGGTGAAAAAATTCAAATGGCTCATTTATAGGAGTTTCAGAAGGTTTATGTTAGACTAACAAATAACTACTTAATTACTAATTATTAAATGCTTAATTGTTTACCTAGTATACATAGTTAACCCTTGAACCAGACAAAGTTTAGTTATCATTACCCCATTTTCTAGGTAAGACTGCTGCTCAGAGAACTTTAGTTGACTAAAGAATCAAAGCTATCAAATGCCAGAGTACATGCTCTATTCCAGGCTAGTTCTGCAGAGTTCTTGTTATTTAAGGTCTGTGCATTACCTGCTTCCACATTTCTCAAACCAGTGTCTGGGCAACACTACTCAGCAAATACTGATGGAGGTACTTGGAGAGTCCCAGTACATGCTGGCATATTGAGAGCTCTGGAGGCTTCAGCCACAAAAAAATATATCTAACTATTAGGGCTGTTAGAAACTATGGGTGAACTCTTTATGGAGACGATCTGCGGTAGTAGATGAATCATGTTTTGTTATAATATTATCTGGAGAACATTTCTCAAGGTGTGAACCAACTACACTCTAATCATTCTAATTTCTTGCACAAATAGAGATTCTAGAGTCCCTGCAGACCCCCTGTATCGTGGCCTGGGGCAGGGGTGGGGAAGCTGGAAGGGGAGAGACATCATGAACATGTACCATGTGGCCAGGTAGAAATTGGTCCTGGATATGGGGATGGCCTTGGAAGTGTTTGGGAAAGTCTATGGGTGAGTGATTCCACCAGGGATGCCCCTATGATTGTAATACTACACCTTCTTCCTGCAGCTAAAACTTCATTGATTCAGAGTCATCAATCACACGTTTATTGAAGTGTCTGCATGCTAGTTGAACTGGGACTCCTGAAGAACCACAAAGGCTCAGCCGACAGTTTCTGCCCTTAAAAGTTCTAAATCTCAGGGAGTTGCTCATCCTTTCCTCATAGTTTTATGTAAGCCCTGCTACTGAAAGAACAGTTTAGGTAACCTTATCATGACTGTGGGCTGAGCTGACTTTCAGACACTATGAAATCCTGCTAGTTAATCTCTCTTTGCCTCATTTTGTATTCTCAAATTTAGTTTGATAAGGTTAATCATGCTAGGGAAGTAAGGCATAAAACAATTATGAGGTTGTTGTTCCATGTGGTTGCTTAAAAGAAGATTTGTCAGATGAAAGTGGGAAGACACGTTTCACTTTCTATTAAACAGTCAGCCTTACTAACAATCTAAAATAAAATAAATGTATCCAGTAGAGGAAACATGCTATCTGGATCATATTATGGACAGTTCTTAATGATTTAATATGTGTAGGTTTACAATGGTATCTAATATACTAGTTTTATAGGTTCTTCTATTATGTACTGTTTGAGCTGTTTTTCAGTTCAGTTCTCAAGAAAATAGTACTCAGAACTGATTGCTAAAAAACACCAATCTATTTTCATAGTTAATCTTTTTCAACTCTTCAAAATAGTAATTAATCCAGATATGAAGCCTTTTTTGTAAAATTGGTAGTGGAAACATCTACAAAATTCTTCCATGTGAATTTAGGGATAATTCAGAATTGATATTAGTGATGGTTTATTTCACTGTCTTATCACTCTTTTGACAAGCAGTCTCTTGCAAGAATTGGATTCCTCTGGAAATGTTTTAATTATTCTTTCTTTTTTCTTTCCTAAAATCTCTCTTACATAAAAAGCCCCTCCAAGGGAGCTGACAGAGGAAGAAAAACAGCAGATCCTTCATTCAGAAGAATTTCTCATCTTTTTTGATCGGACAATACGGGTAATTGAAAGAGCGCTGGCAGAAGACTCTGACATCTTCTTTGACTACAGTGGTCGAGAGTTAGAGGAAAAAGAAGGGTTAGTTTCTTGTGTGCATTTTTTAAAAAGAAATACGGTGATAATTTATCTGTTGATTCTAAATTCATTTACGTACTGACTAGGCAAATTCCAAACCCCAAAATCAGAGGACACTGAAATTCCAGGGTGGATCTTGCTGAACAGCTTTGACTAAGGGCTTTGGTTATAACTTCTGGCTTAAAGTTTCCCTGGAATTATCACATGCTTCCATGAAATGCTTTTGAACTTGATATCTGGGGAACAGTCCAGGTGATAGAGACTGGCAGAGTCATGTGAATTATCCTCTGAGAAAACATTTTTTTATAAGCAGCAAAAGGAGATTTGTGTTACATTCAGTAGATCTGTGTTTGATGTCTAAGCAAACAAGAAGCTGAACAAAATAAACATGAGTTATGGGAGACCTCTCCTGGTGTGGGGGAGAGCCAACAGAAACTGGAACCTTCTTCCTCTTTTTGATGCCATGAGATTTTGTGCATGTGCCTTTTAGGAAGCACATGTGCAGGAATATACTTACAGATTTAAAAAAAAGATCAATAAAAGCAAATGGCCCCAGAAGAGTTTCTCTGTGACTGCAGTGTAGGTACTGTAAAAGGCAATGGCCGTCGACCATCATCATGGGGATAATAGCAGATACTTCATGAGCTTGAAAGAAATAATGCAGCTGGTTTTCAGCCATATCTTTCCTTTGGCCAAGAAGAATATGAAAAAGGTGAGATCACCTGACTTTTCATCAGACCTGACTTTTTTACTATTTTTAAAATTGGAATACATTCTCAGAGTACAATGTATCATCAGTAGGGACATGTGAAAGAATGTAACAGAGGGTCCGAAAGTAGTTTCCCAAAAGGCGTTCTGAAAATGTTCTGCTAAAAAGCATCATTAGGCTATTTCAAAGAAATAACTATATTTTGAGTATACATGTTATGAGATGCTTGTTTTAGTTTAAAAAGCTGTTACTCTATAGCTCAGTTGATTTCCCAGGTCCCATTTCCCTCTGGGGCCCAGCCCCATGTTTTCCTGGGTTCCTGGCAGTTACTTGGTGCATGTACCTCTTGCCTGACTTTGCAATGCAGGAGCTGAGGAAGGGTTAGCAGGGGGGAAAAAAGTCATAATAAGCCAGCTGATTAAAACTCATGCAAACAGTCCTAAGCCAAATCACCCAGTCTGAACAGCAGCTAGATAGGACGTGATACAGGGTGCCAGCCAGTGGAATGAAGCAAATGCACAGAAAAAGGTGAGTATGGAGTAATTCTTGAACTGAAGCCCGAGAAATTTAGGCAGCTTTTTATGCAGATCCAAAAGCTGCTGGCACAGAGCAAGCATTACTCAATTTAATACTCAGTCTTGTGGAGCAAAAACATGGCCAACGCAGAGTTCTTCGAAGGAGGTTTTGTGGCCAGTTGACTAACAGCCAAGTAAACACCGGCCAAAGTATAATCCTCTGAGATCCAGATGCTGTTTCAGTCTATATCAAGTATCTAATACATTTGTTGAATCCTCCACTCTGCACCATGCCTGTCTCATGCTAAAGCTTATCGCTTGCTATTGAGCAGGGAGGCAGCCACTACAGTCAATCAAAAATTACAGAGAGGAGAGAGATGACCCTGGACTGCAGTTTGTAAGCAATAAATGGGTTTAAAACTTTAAAAAAAAATTACATGTAAGTAGAAACAGTGTGTATCATCTCTGGTCTAGGGCTAGATAAGGCACTGTTGCTGTAACAGAATCTTCAAGTGTGCTATGCTCCCTTGAAAGCTGGGAGATTTCTAGGAAACTCTGCTTCTAGACAGAACTGATTAGGAAAAGAATGCTTGTAGGAAGAGTCAGGATGAGAACCTGAAACAAATTTGGCATCTTGTACCAGACATGGAATAGCACGTACAAGTCTTTTCCATGCCAGGTTAGAGAGAGCTTTTCATGAAGGAGACCATCACTAGTTCATTTATTTATGACCAGAGTTGGCTACGTAAATTGATGCTCTGGCTTCAGAGAACATTGTGTGCCATGCTTGACATTTCCTTGTTTTCAATATTAGCAGCTGAGATAAAGCCCCATTCCGAAGTGTCATATTTGTCTTTGATGTTTAAACCCTTCTAGGGATGTCCAGGCTGGAGCCAACCTATCTTTCAATCGTCAGTTCTATGATGAGCATTGGTCCAAGCATCGAGTAGTCACGTGTATGGACTGGTCTCTCCAGGTAAGAATTATTTCTGGAATGGGACAAACTGGGTTTGTGTTCTCATGACATTTGTATTAAAAAAAAGAGAGAGATTTGCTCCGTTATGGGGTGTGTTGACTAACCTGTGACTTCGTCTTGTGCCTATTGGTTTTCTTTCTTTTACTGAGGTTCCCGTTTAAATTTTGCATTCTGTTACTGATCTACACTGAGTAATCACTGCATGCTAGTACCAGACAGGGAGCCAGGCCGTTCTGTCCACAGAAGTGCTGTCCTTAAGGTACCAGTGATTTCCTACTTGTCAAATTCCGAGGACATTTTTAAAACCTTCATCTGCCCTGACCTCTGTCCCTCCAGCTTAGTTAATTTCTCCCATACTTCTAAAAACAATATCCTCCCATTGAGTTCCACAACCCTGCTCTCTGCTAGGTCTTAGACTTCTGCAAGGCTTTTTCTTGTCTCCCACCTCTGTTGTCCTCATGGTTATGCCCCCAAACTCTGCTCTCCTTCCCGACATGCTTTCTGAGGGAAATCTCCCCTGCTGTCCTTTCAACTACCATGTGGGCATCCTGTTTATATCTCCCATCCAATCTCCCCCCTGAAATCCACTACACACCAGACAGCCCCACTTAGGAATCCCATCAAGTCTAATCACTAACTCATTATTAACACACATATGAAATCCCTTTTTGCCTGCTACATTCTATGGTAAACCATCAAATATACCCAAGGTCTACAGCAGACTGTTAACATTAGCAACTTCCTCCCTTTCTCCCAAACCCAGTGCATTGCCAGGATGATCTGTTTCTCCACTTACATATTCATCATCTTACACTTGGAATATTGCTAACCTTCTAACTGGTCTTTCTACATCCATACTTAGCCACCTATAGTTTTCCCTCTAGATATCCAACCAAACAATGTTTCTAAAATGTACATCTGATCACCTCCCTCCCTGAATTAAAACTGCCTGTTGCCTGTAAGAAAGAGAAGGTCTAAACTTCTTAGTATGGCATTCAGAATGAAAGCAGACAAATTTACCAAAAGCCAATTTGTGAAATGGTCAACTCAACTAGTTGGCAAATTACCCATCCCTGAGCAGTTAAGTAATGTGCACAAAGGCACATAGCCAAGCTGTGGTGTGGCCAGAATTCTTGAGCCCAGGTGGTCTTATCCCAGACCCTTGTTCCTGATGAGCACACTACATCCCCTCCTGCAATGACAGCAACATAGGAGCAATGAGGCAAGTAGGGATGATTAGTCCTGGGTATTTATTCACAGCATAGTTTCTGTTGCCTTTCAGACTATGCTTTCATTGGGAATAACAATCGTGCCTGGCTTTTAATTTTGTTCCTTATATGTTGAGTACTGTGCCAAATGCTCTGAGGACATTCTTATTTCACCCTCATAACATAACATGAGGCAGCCCATTATTACTGTTCCCATTTTATAGCTGAAGAAATTGAGGCTCAGAGAAACTAAGTGGCTGAACATCACTCAGCTAGGATATGGTAGAGCAGGGATTTGAACTTAAGTCCTTGAGCACTTTAAGGCATATTCTTTTCACCACTGCCTCTCACAAAGGGCTTATGAATCTGGAGTCAAGAAAGATTCCACATGCTAAATGATATGGAGCAGATAGCAACTGTTTTCAGAGTTCAGTGGAGGTTGGATCTGTCTCTGGTCAGGCAGGGCTTCTCAGAAGACTGGAGTTTGGACAAATGGAGGGGTGAAGAGTGTGTTCTAGGCAGAGCAGTGAACCAGATGATGTGAAGAGCCTCATTTAATTGTACCAGAGGACAGGAGAACTGAAGAGGATTGTAATCCCCGAAAACCAGACTGTAATCCCCCAAAACCAGCCACCAACAGGATGAGTGTTCGCTCCTCTTGAATCTCCTTTTACACCCAAACAACAGTGCACACTGTGCATGATCATGCAGAGACTAACACCAGCAGGGTTTGCCCAGCCACTTCCCGCCGGTGTGTGGGTGGTCTGTGAGCATGCTCGTATGTATGCCCAGAAATCAGATCCAAGCCTGAGGAAACACTTAGCTTGGCTTGTTCACTTGTTTGGAGTCTGGAAATTACACAGGAACCTTATCTGACACATTCCTTAAAGGCAACTTTTACTGTGTTCCCAGATCGGCTGCTAATGCTCCCGGAGGGGGAGGGTAAGCCAGCATCAGCACGGCTGGCCCCTGCCTGGCCTCATGTGACATGGGCCTTATTGCCCATGGATGGATTCATTTCCATGCAGGGCTCTGTGTGACATTTTTGTTGCAGAAAGTGAAACTGTGAAGGGCAAAAAATCCACCACAAAGAGACCACATTTATTTTTCCCCATTTTTGTGTTGTCTGCTCTTCTACACTGTAGGGAAGATGTTTGCAATTCTGAAAAATGTCTTTTATATGAAGCATGAGAAAAAGGAATTGGAACCCTTAGCTCTACATCATAACACTTTTGTGGGGTTCAAAGGACCAGGTTTATGTGCTTATGGGATGAAGAGACTTCCTGAAAGGATTTAGATGCCATTCAATGTCATTAAGAAAGAAGAGAGGACAGAGGCATAGTATTGGAGTTTGCTGGTGGCATGTGTGCCCAGGATGGCCCAGTGGGACAGAAAAGAGCACAGGGGATAAAAAAGAAGAAAGTATAAGGTTGATTTGATCTCCAGGGCTTCTTAAACAAGAATGCTATAACTTTGCAATATTTGCAAAGTATCAACCAAACATTCCCTGGAAGACATGTGGGCAGTGAGGGAATTCTGTCAGGTTGGCCATTCACTGAACATTGTTTAGCAGAGTGAATCAATAATACTATCCACCTACCACATGACAGCTTTTCCAGACTCATGATCTTACTCCCACCATATATACACTTCTCACATGTAAATTGCATCCTCGTACCTTGCAGTCATCCAAGATACAAACCCAACTAGTCTTTGACAGCTCATTTAATTGCCAGATCCAATCAAATTTACAGTAGCAAAAAGACTTCAACTAACACCAATTCAAATCCACTAATATATGGATTTGACACCTACTTTATGTTGTACCCTCTGCTTCTTGCTTATATGAGGAAATAGCTTCCTAACAGTGTTTCTGCTTTGAATGTCTCACTTCATGTCATTATAAGTGCTTTTACCAGATTAATATTTGTAAAGATCACTTATAGGCTCTCAATATCACCTTGGGCAAGTCACCTGACTTCTCTTGGCTTAAGTTTCTTCATTCATAAAATGTTCACATGCTTATTATGACTATTAAATGAGTTAATGTATTTAAAACAATTAGAATTTTAAGTGGCTAGTATGTAAAAAGTACTCAGTAAATGTGACATAGTAATGAGAACAGTCATAGCAGTAGTATTAGCAACTGTGGAGTATGACTCCTCTAATCCGCAGAGTAAAGCCTAAAATCTTCAGTCTGCACTCAGTGAGCTCTGTGAGGATGCCCTGCAGCATTTCCAGCCCTTTCTTCTGCCTTACCTCTTCATAAAACCTGCCTCCCAGCCAAATGCTACAACCTGATGTCTCCCTACATGGTCTTCCTGCATTAGTTCCTAAGTTTCCTGCATTAGTTAGGAAAACTTTACCTCTGGCTAGCTTAAGCAAAAATGGGAATTTATGGTACAAAGGACTTAGGGAATTCACAGGAAAGATGAAGAACTGGTACTCAGGAAGAATAAGAATCTGTGCAGCTTGAGGGACCTCACTGATAGAACACTGTCATAACCTGACTCACTGGCCAGCCCATGAGTTCTGTGTCTCCATTTAGAATTTGCAATAGTCAACTTAGACAGGGCAATTTGTCCAGCTGGGTCAAGTACCAACCCTGCAATGAGCTAAGTGTACCTGGGAAGTTTGGCATAATACACAATACCTGTGTATTGAGGTAATCTCAAAAGATGGGAGAATGAGAACCAGGCAGGTATCCAAGAGAAATCTCCTGCACCCAAATTTGTAACCTTGTCCATACTCTCTCTTCTCTCCTAATGATCTACCCATGTGACAAGGCTTAAGCCTCATTTCTTCCCAGAAGGTCTTTCCAGTTTCTCTCCCATCCCAACTCCCAGAAGTGGTTATTCTGTCCTCTGTACTTCTGTAGAACCTTGTTCACACCTCCATCTTAGCACATACAATGCTGTTCTTTTCTGTTTGCATTGTAGTTACTCGTATATGTGTTTCACCTACCTCTACTTAATGGCGAGTTCCTATAGAGCACAGTATGTTAATGTTGACATTCTTGTCCCACGTTTTACCTGACGTGTGTAGGAGGCACTTGGCACATGCCTCAGAGGACTGGAAGGGACATGGCCTTTGAAGCCAACCAGACTTCAAGCATGGGTCTCACTCCTTCATTCATCACCAACATAACTCAGAACAAGTAACCTTCCCAGGCACCCTTGGCTTCTCAATCTATAGAACTGGGAGAACCATTGCCTTCTTTAGAGGACTGCAATGACCCAGTGAGTCAGCTCATCACCCACCTCAGGGTCTGGCACATAATGAGAACTTAAAACATATTGGGTCCTTCCTCTCCAATAAATGTCAGGTTTTATTTCTCTATAAGAATAAGCAGCTGGCAAGCAGACTGGGTAATTTCCTGGTAAAATTCTCCTAGGATAAATGTTGGATAATCCAGCTTCATGAGTAACCACAAATTGTTCATATTCTCTTTAAAATGATCATTTTAACATTTAAGGTTTAAATATTGTTTAGATATTTACATCTTAGTGGAAAATAAGAAAATATGACTAGTCGTGTTCAAACCCACAACAGAAAAAGACATACCAGAGGAAACCTTGAAATCATAGAACTTGCATGAGATAAGAGTAAAATCAGTATCTTTAGGACTTAGGATCCCAATTATAAAAATTATGCCAAAGGCATTTCACTGGTATTTTATTAAAACTCTCCTTGTTTTCTAAAGAGGTTTTAAAGCCAAATAATTTAAACTACGTTTTAATGGGGGGAAAAAAAGTTGCAAGTTGGAGCCAGCGACAAGACCCAGATGTGAAGCTGTGGGATATTATTTCAGACATACCTGGCTGCTCATTGGCCATTATGGTAGTGGTGTTGCTGTTTATATAGTTGTCTTTTCACATGTGACATAGTTAAACTTCAATTGGACAGTCTGGAGACTTCTGTGTTTATCTGGATATTAGTTTCTTTGAATGGGCTTTGAATCAAAGGCTTTTTTCTTAAAAGGCCTTTGATTCAGCCACTGAGGAGTATTTTCTAATAAAGAATGATTACTTCCCCTGGTGGCCACATACATGTGTATCATTGTAGGCTTACTTCCTCTGCATTAACCAGCAAGCTGTAACTCTGCAGCTTTTGAGGGAGCTGAAGGAATGAATAAAGCCACATAGAGGACTTAAGTTTAAGTGTTCTTGATAGAAAAAAAGTAATTGGTATTCAAATTTATAAGGACAATCTTCTATTAAGTGTATAGGCAGCATAGTGAAAAAGAAGGTAAAAATTAAATTATCTATGAGCAAAGAGTGATAAGATCTGCCCTAATCCTGATGCTGCCTTGTGGGAATCCCAGGGTAGGCATGCCATTTCCATAACATGCATTCTAATTCATAAACACCTCCCACGAGATTCATCCCCAGTTCACTTAACTACACAGCACGGAGTTCACGCAGGGTGAGTAGGTATTTCTACTCACTGTAGAGTCCTTAATATTATACCCATGTTTCTTGCACCTATGCCTTTAATTGTTGGGGTTATTTGACAACAAAGGATTAAATATAAGGTCTTTCCACTGAGCAGAGAGTTACTGAAATGAAAAAGAGCTTTTGTGAGTATTCAATAGAGTTTGGCACAAGTTTATCATGTGCTGGCTGTTACTGGACCCTAGATCCAGAAGTCAATAGGAACAAGTCCCTATGCTCAGAGAGCTTACAAACTAGTAAGATAAATAGGTGGGAAAAAAACCTAATACCATCTGACACTTTTTCATGAGAAGATAATGTTAAGGGAGCGGTGAGAGGGAAGGAGGGGTGGTGGGTGGTTGTGTAGGTTGTCTGGAGGACTTGCTGCCTGCACTGAGTCCTAAAGAATGAGTTCATGATGCCAGAAACACAGGAGAGGCTCATCAAATGGGAATGAGTATCAGAACTCTAAGTATGGAGGCTTTTCCTATGCCATTAAAGTATTTTAAGTAGAGGAGTGACTTGTTTGGTTTAGATTTGTTTGATTAAACTATAATTGCCAAACTTGTAAAGTCATACTGATGAAGGATGGAGAGTGGAGTAGGTGAGACTAAATCCTGGAGGCAGGAAGCCATTTAGGAAGCCATTGCCTTCGTTCAGGCAAGAAGTTAGTTTACCTTTAGGATGGAAAGAAAACATGCCATCGCAAGGTACTGAGGAAGTAGTGACACATAGTATGTAGAGGTAAGAAAGAGGAAGGAGGAAAAAATGCATTTGGAGTGTCTGACCTGGGCAGCTAGGTGAATACCAGTGAAAGGCGCCAAAAGAGGGGACACTCGAAGGGCAGTAGGTTTTTGTAGAAGGCAACAAGCTCATTTTCTATGTGTTGCATCTCATGTGTCTATGGATAGCCCCCAGAAATCCCCAGTAGGCAGTCAGCTATAAGATCTGCAGCTCAGAAAGAAATTGAGACCAGAAATACAGATTTGGACATTGTCAGCATATTAATGCTTGGTAAGACCATTGGATTAGATGAGATCACCCAGGAAGAAAGTGTAGATAGAGATAAAACAGAGGGCAGGGAGCAGCCCCCCTTGGAATCTGGGTAATAGAGAACCCACAGGGATTGAGCAGAATGGTCAGAAGGACAATCGGGAGAGAAAGATGTACTGGAAGCCAATATGCAGAAAGAAGGGAATAGCCCAAATGTGAGATAATACAGGAAGGTCCAGCAGTGTGTGCTTGCAGTAGACGTTGGTGACTCTGGCAGACATACATGGAACATTAGAGGCAGAAACCGGCTTGAAGTAGGCTGAGGCAGTAGCTGGTATTAAGTATGCTACAACTTAAAAAGAAAGTGCCATTTGAAGTATGTAATACAGTACATGTCTGTAGGAATAAGAATGTTTCCTCTGTGTCATCATCTTGGCATAATCTGTCCTTGTGGCCTCTTCCATTCAGTACCCAGAGCTGGTGGTCGCTTCCTACAACAATAACGAAGATGCTCCCCATGAACCAGATGGAGTGGCATTGGTTTGGAACATGAAATTTAAGAAAACCACACCAGAATACGTCTTCCACTGTCAGGTAGGAGTCAGCATCATAAAAATAACTTACATCTCCTGCTCAACCAAATATAGTTGCTGCTGCGTTGCATTTATCTTATGTGGAGAGAAAGAACTGAGTTCAAAAATGGAATTGTTGACAATTTTGGAAAATTCTCCCACAGTAACCTGATGTTTGGGGAAAGTGGCAACCCTCTCCAAACCATTAGGAAGCCTGGTTGGGGACTGTGTGTCATTTTCTTTCTATTTAAAACAGCCCCCATGAAGATGAGTTTATAAAGATGTAGCACTTAAGAAGAAATCCTGGTGTACCACTTCCTCTGCTTAGCAGCAACATATGCCTGCCCACCCGTGTGGACGTCCTTGGCACCCCGCCATTTCAAATTCCCTCCTCCCTTGAAAGGCAGTTCAATGGGATTTTGCCAGTCTTAAGTTTATGGGTCCCATCTTACTTACAGATAATAACATTTTTATAACTGGTTTAGGGGACTATTTATCACGAATCTTTCTTGAGTTGTTGAGAAATCTAGATGGTATTTTCATTTGGCAAATGCAAAAATCATCTCAAAAAGTTTTGGATATTTTACTCCTGTGTCTACTGACATGCATTTCTTCTCTTCTATTCAACACAATAAGGCTGAAATTTGTTTACACTTGCACTTGTTCAGCTTTGCCCCATTGCCATGACTTTACCTAAATAATAGGACTCAACCATGGCCCATACATCAACCCCTTTGTTAATGCCTGTATCCAGTGATTAGGCATAAGAAAATACAAAACAAACAAGCCAGCTCAAAGTTTCAGTTCCTTAGATACTATGATTCAGAGAGACTGAGTGGCAGATTACTCTAAAAACAAATACATCCGTTGGAGGGTGGATAAACCTGTTGAAACTTGTAACCTTAGTGCCATTTTATATCTATGAGCCGAGTATGTTTTTGAGCAAAGATATGTTTAGACTTTAGAACATTATCAATATAATATGGGGAACAGGAGCTGCTGGAATAAAAGTCCCAACCTCAACTTGATTGAGTAACCTCTAACTCTGGCCACGTTTTTCTAATTTGCTATCTTAAAAACAACAAGAAGTCTAGGTCCGCATAGCAAATAACCTTTATTTTTTGAACCTTTGAAATAACAATTTTTTCTTTATTTTTAAGATTATCAAATTTGTCAGTTTGATATGCTCTTTCAGTAAACACAGAGGCACAAAATCCTAATTTTGTTCAGTTTTAAGAGGTCTGCTGAATTACCAGGAAAATACTAAAAGGATTATGGGATAACCAGAAGCACATTTTTGAAAAAACAGTACGATTTAAACTATTTTGAAAGTACATACAGCCTATCTTGAGTTTTTAAAAATTTGAGAAGTAATACATTATATTGTTTTAGGTGATGTACATGATGTTTATCATACACATTGAAAATTTTTAATTAGATTAACTGACTATAGGTAGCCTGTGGCAATAACAGTTTGATAGTATGCTTAATATTCATAATACTGCACAGTAAACAGGTCAGTTGGAGCATAATAATTCTGAGTAAAGAAGTAAATTTCAAAGGTCTTTAGAATTAACTGTAATTTTAAAATTACCTTTTTTATCACACAATCATTAATACCAGTGTTGATTGAAAAGAACATTCTCTCTTTCCTCTCCTGATGTCCCTGGGATCATTTACTAAAGACTTCACCAACACTCATTTAATTTCATTTTTCACTTCTCCCTTAATTGATGCAATATATACATTTTAGAAGAAAATATAACCTTGATTTTTAAAAAAATAAGAAGTATTCTGAATATCCTGCCAAAAGACGCTCACTAAAATATCTTTGTATCCCCCAAATTCCTACTACTGTCTCCACTTTATCCAGTGATCAGAAACAGATTGGTACTGTAAACTTTACTTGGCATTCTCATTAGGAAAAAAGTGAGAATTCCAGAACTTTTAAACTTCGGGGTTGATAAGTGACATGTGCAAAAGTCCATGAAGATGCTGAAATTCTAGGTATCAAATAAAAGTCACTCAATTTAACTACATACATGTTTTAAAGATACTGAGAATTGTGATTGTGCTACTCAGCTTTAAATAAGTAGTTCATATAAAGGAACCTTACTATTCATGAAGACACATTCAGAAAATCTTAAGGAAAACCTAGTTGCTGAATACCACTGTGGTTTCTGTTATAAAAATGAATACCTAGTTTATTATGTTATTAACTGAATACCTAATTTCTGTTACTAAGTTATTTCTCTTAAGCTGGTCCAACTGTAGGGAGCAGAGTGTTGTCACCAGCTTTGGGAAGGTGAAAAGGTAAAGAACTTTGATCCTTCTCCAGAGAAGAGGGAAGGGAAGAGTCGGCACAGCAAAAGTAATTCTGAAGGCCTTCTGAGGACCCCTGGTATATTTTCCAGAGAAATAGAATATATATATAAAATCCCCAATTGTGCCTCTCTGTCTACGTATCTATCTGTGTTGGGTGGTCAGAAGACCCAGATCTGTTTTTCCAGGAATGGGTTCAGGACCTCATGGAACATGACATAGGGTCAGTGTGCATTGGAGGGCACAATTTCTTTTCGGATAGTGACATGACTTGCTATAGCTGATATCCCTAAATCAGGACAAAAGCCAGTAAATATCAATGGCTGCTAAAGGAAAGCAAAAGTGCTGCTGTACCGAGTGAGCTGATGAGAGACCAAACCGTGGGTAACTTGGCAGGCCAGGGAAGACACGGATGGATTAATGGGTGGAAGCTAGGTGAGGGGAAAAGGAGTAAGGACTGTCTGGTTACCATGCGTTGGACTCTACTGACTATAGGGACAACCATGTTTGTCCGTATTTTATATTTTCCCAGCTCTTCTGCCTTCATGATCTCACTGATCCTTATAATAGGGAAACAGAAAAGTTTATTATTGTCCTTTTCCAGTTAAGCAGTCAAACACTTTAAGGGTTCCCCAGCTAGTGAGCAGCCCAAGCAGTACTGGAACTGAGGCTTGTTCTCCCACGTCCATCATGCCAGCTCCTGGGCTGTGTTCCACAGTTTGAGAGCAAAGACTGTGTCGTTCATTCAAGAGGTCTTGCTGGCACCAGCCATTTATCAGACATGGGTTAGACATGGCCCTAGAGATGGCTCTCCTCACCGTTTTCTAAACCTCAAGGGGGGTTTGGAGAGCCCACAGAATTAAATACGTGTAAGAAAAACCAAAGCCCAGCCCCACTCACTGACCTATCCCTCTTCTTCTCTTTCCTTTGTGCTCCTTGGTAACATCGATTTATTATGACTCATCCCTTCCAGACCCCATCCCACTGAGATCAGGTAGTTTGAATGTGATGTTTCAATAACTTCGAAATTAGGCAGTTTGCTTAGTAGGAAAGAGGCCTGTGGATAGGGAGCAGCAGTAGGTGCTTATGATTGTACTTTAATAACTAACATGTTAGTTATCCATTTCTTGCTGATCTCTCTGGATTCTTCATCTTTGTCAGAAGGGTACAACAGCAAACAAATCTGATAGCTCCGGAAAGTGTCATTTGAGGCACTAAACAGCAAATGCACAAGAAACAGGCATTAGTTCCATGTTCTTTTGCGAAGACTGACAGGCTTTTAGCCTAATCATAAAAAGATTGGAGTCTGAAGGCTCGTTTCTCTCTGTTAAGAATACCAGGGCCAAATACTTTCTATTTCCTTGGACACTTTCATGTCTTTACTAAAGTGAGTTTTCAGTGTGGGCTCTGGTCCTACATTTTCTATTTTCATTTTAGTAAGAGCTGTCCTTACTTAGAAAGCATTGGTGGACCCTGCACAAAAATCAGCCTCTAGTGCCACCACACCATCTGGCAGCGGCCCTGCTGTCCTCTGCGGTGGCCTCCACACACTGTCATTAGGTTATGTGTTCTGACCACCCTGTGTGGCTTGCCCTGGTGTGGTCTTTCTCTTTCAAATGGAATGAATAGAATCAGAAATATATATCTTAGAATTATCTGCACTGAGGTAAGTGGGAAAGCTATATTTAGAGGCTTGGCTTGGCCAGAGGTTTTTATTTTTACTTTTATTTTTTTCCTGATCTGGTTTCTTTGTTCTTAGCATTCTCTTTTTAAATGATCACCTGACAGGGACCTGAAACCTACTCCGGGGAAAGGCAGAATGTGAAGTGGGGCGATATCAATTAGCTTCATTTGTGCCAGGGTTTAAAATCCTCAGTTGATTTTTTCCCTACGTGTGGCTTCATGTCTCATAAAGATTCTATAAAGGTTACAGATGAGATTGCAACTCACAGACGTAGCCATCCTGTGTGAGGTTCCCACCAATGTGAAGGGAGTTGCCCCTGTGCAGATGATTGTCACACAAAAGGGAACGTGGGCTGGTGGTGAGGAGAGGGCACAGAAAGTTAGCACTTACACTTCACCCCTAGCTGACCCTGCAGCTGAGGGATGGGGGTCTTGTGGAGGCTCTCTCGTCGTGTCGTGGGCAGGAGACTTCCTTCTGTCTCTGGTGGAACTACAGAGCTTATTGCAATAACCTTAATTTCTTCTCCTATCAGTTTTTGTCCCTCCTCTGGCCCAGACTGTGGGCCATAATCCAACCAAATTGACAAAACACCTATGGACACAAAGATATAAATTAATTTAAGTGCATTTCCCAATTCGTATCATGGCCAGACAAACATTAGAATGTGACTTAGGGAGGTTTTTTTTTTTCAATTAAAGGAAGGGTAATTTCTTGTGGCCTGGCTGATAAAAACCAAACACATTTTCTAAGCTTTTCTCTTGGATGTGGCAAGGATGTAGGTACTCTGTAGAAGTCAGCAAAGCAAAATGGATGAATGGATAAATAGTTCTTTGACAAACAGGGCGATATTCAGAAAGAGTTTCTGGGATGACAAAATGAAAGAACTTCATAGGTGCTTAGTAACTGGAGAACAAAGTCCATGGACAAGAACATGCCAACTAATGTAAGTAAGACTCATACAGTTTTCAAATACGATGCTGGATTTACTACACACCAGAGAAACCCAGAAGAGGAAA